GCGTTGCTTTTTGTAGCAAGTTCTTCTCGAATTCCCGCCGCGTCTGCAATATCAGCTTCCTCAGTTTGTTCCTCTGTGTCTTGTAGGTGTTGAAGCATTCAGCTTGTCTAGTGACGCAGTATTTTCTCCACAATTTGTGCTTCCTGTTGATTTCTTTCTTAAGGCTGCTATTTAGCCACCCAGGGCGTTTATTCAGTCTTACACTGATCAGTGGGCAGTGGTTGTTGATGAGCTGCAGAAGGACATTCTTGAACAGCTCCCAGTCATCGTTGGCACTTCCCGTAAACAATGAGCCCCAGTCGAGACCGGATAAGTCTGCGCTCATCAGATTGAAGTCGCCCCAACTGCTCCAATAGTTGAGTGTCGGCGATTCGGTCTGTCCTAGGTGGTCGGTAGACAGTGAGGACATCGAGACACGGGGAACCGGTAGCCTTGATGGTCAACCAGATAGCTTCCGTACTGCACGCAAACTTGGTGGTGTTATCCGGCACTGCCAGACCGTCATTCACATACACAGCGATACCACCACCCTGACGATGTTCCCTGTCCCTCCGATAAATTTGGTATCCAGGCAAGGCTACTTCGTTATCGCTAATATTCCCGGACAGCCAGGTCTCAGTTACTGCTAAAACATCTGGAGACAGCTCAACAAGGCAAAGTTTTAGTTAGTCTAGTTTCGATATGAGTCTTTGGGCATTCGTGTACAAGCACCTTAGTTTAGCACCAGCCGAATTTCCCGTTGCATTTGTTACTGCTGTGACCATTACTCCGTTATCGCGGACGTCGTGTTCTCTAGGCCCTTCCGTTACCTGAATGGTTCCATTTACATGCCTTGTTTCAGTCAGATCACTGGACGCTACGGGCTCACTTGTGTTGGCGCCTTGATCAGGTGGTTCAACGAAGGTGTCTGTTTTAGCTGAGTAGCTGTCGTCGTTCGTAGTATTACAGGTTGGTTCCACTGAAACGGCATATATTTCCGAACAACCTTCCCCTTGAAGATAGGCAGATTGTGTTCGCCATCCTTCAGTCTTGATGTTAACTCCAAGACAAGTTCCCGGCGTTTCAACCGTTCCGCTGGCGAATAGTCCGGTTGAAAAAAACCTGTTTGTGTGTGTTTCTGAGATCGGTTTATTTAGAGAGGATAAACTTGATTTGCTGTTTGTTCTCCAGCATAACTTTGAGAGGGCGGGGTGGTTGTGCTACTGTTCTGTCTTCACTCCTTTTTCCCATCCGGAATGCTTTCAGAACCTTTATTTCCATGTCTGCCGGCAGTAAATGATTTAGCAGACCATGAAAAGAAGCAAGGTCCTCTGAGACACGGTCTTCAGGTCTGACTGCATTCGATTCTGACAAACCCTGAATAACCAGACACTGCTGGCGAGTATGGTCCTCCTTACTCTGTCTTTCCAGTGAATGCGCTGCATGTGGGCGAGGACGATTTACGGAGTCATCGCTTGGACGCACATTTTTACTGTCTACCGACCGTCCCGAGCAACCCATCAGGGCTGGCTGTGACTTCAGAATCCTGTCATGGCATTTCCCCCCCCCCCCTCTACCCACGGGTTTATGTCTTCGCATTCAGATACGTGCTCTGTAGTGCGCTCGGGGTGGTTGCCAGAACAAGAGGGCAAAAGTAGACTGGATGACCCAGGTATATCGTCTCCAGGCAGAACAGAAATCCCATCACTTACAGCAAGAGGCTTAGGTGAGATGGCTTCCGCGACAGGTAATTTTTTGCGACATCGCTTAAGACATCGTGCGTGGGAATCGAGTCTCCCTTTATCGGCGGCTTCGTTTTCATTGTCCTGCTGTTACCGGCGTCTGCGGTTTGAAGATTCCCACGAGGATATATTTTTTCGCTTTTTTGCGTTTTGCTCTGTAAATAATCTCCTATTGCAAATCTCACAACTTATTCCACCCTTTCAGTTTGACTGTTCGTGTACTTTCCCAACTTTGACTATTCTATTATTTGGTTTGGCTTCCTTTCCATGTTGTCTCAAACAGAATATAAGATGATGTTGCTATTATTTAATTACCGGTCAACCTGCGCACCCTTGCCATTATTATAAATGGCGGACTTACTAAACGAGTGTGATCCGACTTTATGCGTATTCTGGTTTGTCAGTATTACATATTTTCTCCCCATCCAGCGTTTTTAATTTAGTGAAACGTGTACTATTCTACTGCCTTGTTTACGTACCCCAGCTCCTGTTTATGTAGGTATCTTCCAGGCAGTACAGAGCTGGGCTTGGTTTAGCGAACTCGCTCAGCTCTCTATAATGTTCAATTAACGCAGAAATATCTGCAATGTTTATGGCTACGTTGTATCTGAACCACTTTGACCTTTGATCGCCGCCTCGACAAATCTGGTGTGTGTTTGAGCCGTTACCTAAAGCCACATGCGGACGAATCTAATCGAGCGCGCAACCCAAAAAACCAAAACGTAAACAGACGAAAATGGCCTTGGTTAGCTAAAACAAATAAACGGCAAAATACAGCATGATTGAAAAGCAAAGGAATATGGCTATCGGAGGGAAAATGCGATGGTAAATTGCCTTTAAATAATGGAATTGCCAATTTACAACCGTTAATATCGACCGTTTCCCATGCAATTCACTGCCAATATTGGTAATGTCGATAGGCACATACATATCGCCATGTCTAACCGGATGACGGACTACTGGAAGCCAAAAGCCATAAAGAAACATAAATTTTGGGTGAGATATGTGAGAATTTAAGAGCGAACGACTGTTTACCAACCATACTAACCCTCTAACAAACTAACCAACTAATTAACTAACTAACTAACCAAACTAACTAAACTAACTGACTAACAACTTACTAACTAAACTAATTAGCTAACTAATATACCAAACTAAACTAAACCAAACTCACTAAGTAACTAACTAGCTGTATTGACTAACTAACCGACGAATGACTGGTAACCAACCATACTAACCCTCTAACTAACTAACCAGCTAATTAACTAACTAACTAACCAAACTACCTAAACTAACTAACCAAACTATCTGACTAATAACGAACTAACTAAATTAATTAGCTAATTAACAAACCAAACTAAACTAAACTCACTAAATAACCAACTGCCCTTCCCTTGTCTTTGTCGGTACCATCTCATCTAATGCTAATAAACTAGCTATACTGACTAACTAACTGACTAACTAACTAGACTAACTGACAAACTGCCTAACTAAACTAACTGACTAACAATTAACTAGCTAAATAAACTAACTAATAAACTCACTAACCATGTAAAATTTGAGCGAGCTGAGGGAGACTCAAAGTTAGTAATCATATGCTAACTTCTCACTTGGCCGACTCTTTCAATGACATACTCCGGATCTTTTAGTGGCTGGAGGTATCATCAAAAATAATTTCGCAAAAGTAAAACTCTAGATAGGTCCCAGAATCCGCCGCAGCTCTGGAGAAAAATGTTCGACCAATCACTTTTCAGCACTCTGAAGCACGTCCGCATATCGCTTTTTTTGGTCACTCGCAAGCATGACACTTAAACCGGAGCCGTCGATTGTGCTGCAGGAGCATGGCTTATGCTCTTTGCCATCTTTGCCCATTAAATGGGACGTCGATGTTTTCATCAATGAATTCCAAACTACTGTCTCCTCAATTTCCCCTGAAATCATCGAATTTGACCTGATTAACTTGGATTGCACCTTCGCTAACGCCATTCGTCGAATAATTGTCGCAGAGGTACCGTCCTTCGCTATAGAACGAGTTTACCTCTACCAAAACACGTCTGTCATAGCAGACGAAGTTTTCTGTCACCGACTGGGCTTGGTCCCTCTTAACGTTGACGGAAGCAAGCTAGACTTTTGCAACGATGCTTTGCCAGACACCTGTGAGATTGATGATTTTGATCCCAATCATCATATAATTTTTGATCTGGACGTCAAAATTGACAAATGTCCTCCCGTGAAAGAAAGCGAAGTACCTGCTAAGGAAAGTGTGCATGTTTCCCCTCTTTACAGGTAAGAATTCCAGGGCAATCCGTGCTTGTATATTGTCAGTGTAGGGTTTGGCGTCCATCTGCTAACACCAGTAGATCATATTAAGATAGTTACGCTTGTTCAACCGATATTAAAATTTTCTTCCTCTAAAGGAGGTGTGTGCAAATTTTATCCCTTGGTGGAACATTGCTCTTTACGATTGGTAACGCGACTGTACCCCTGTGCAGCTTATTGCCGGTGATGAATGTGTTATAAGGAGAAGGTGTGAGGCATATGCGACCGCAGAGTTAATGCAACTCAAGTAAGGCCAACGACAGTAAGCGTGAAGAATAAGTTACACCAGTCATATTGCTTGTTAATTCTGACTGGCTTCGAACACAAAACTGCCTTTTTGACGACTATCTTTTCCCGTTTGTCCCGATTCCTAAGTTTTTTTGCGGACATGCTTCTGTTAGAGTGGTCGGCCACATTCTTTAAATGGACGCTTACAAGGGCTTTCGCCGTTAGACGAACATGACAATGCGGACGTCGTGTAGAGGGTGGTTACGCATGAACGCGCCTAGAACCCAAGATTCCTTTAAGACCGTATAAGATTGGATTCGATTCCCATTCGCCAGCATTTATGGCGCCTTCTATGCAGACAATTCCACACACATCTCGAGAGACTGGCCACAAAGATGGGCAGTTAAATTAGCTAAAGTTTATTCTAGATTCCGCACCTAGCTCATTTGCACATGGTGTTTTCATAGTTTCGTTTGCTCTTGCGTAGAGCAATTGACGTGCTAGAAGATCGGAAGTGTGGCATAAGTCCAGCCTGATTGCTCCTAAATTCTACCAGGCAGTTAGTGCACATGGCATAGTTATCTGTTTTTGAAATATAGGGTAATCCTACCGCTATATAATACGATAAGCCGAACAGGATGAATCGATGCCTTTTATGTACTCCCCCTCAATGTTCTCATTACCACTAGCGCTCCTGTTTCTGCTCGAGATCGTTTAGGTTTGTAGACACAACCAAGCGAACAGCTACTTTTTTTGCTAATTTTGTTTTATAGGCAACTGTTGGCCAAACGACTCCGACGGTTAGCCGATAGATATTAATAGCCTCCGTCTCACTATCAAAAGTCTGTCCTTGTAATAGTTTTTGAACTAATCGCTTAGCGTTTTCATGCTCGATTCCCTCTGGCTGTGTTCAGCGAACTTAGTCTTTCATCCTCAACTATTAGGGGCCAAATATCGAGGGTCCACATCCAGCCAAGTCTGCCACCTCTTCGTCGTTTTTTGTCCGGGAGGAGGACAGGGAAATTTTCCAAATCGTTAACAATGAGCCCATAGGATTTATGCTGAGGAATTGATCGCAGCGGTTCCGGCTGCCCGAGTTATTCTTTTGATGTCTTAGCGAGTTCGACCCCTCTCGTTCGAGGCGACCTCCTCATTACTAAGTCAACCCTATTAAGCCTACTTCGAGCTTCTTCCGCTTGCGTACCCAGGTATTCGCGACTACAAAAAGGCACTTGGGAAATTGATCCTCGGCACACAATCTTCGGGCTGATTGTCATACTGTATCGCGCGTTTCCGAGTGCAAAATTTCTTAAAAGTACTTGCATCTCGCTATCCATTCTGCCGTAGTTTTCGAGCGATTCGCCTAGTTAGCAAGTGTCACTTCGAGATTATTGCTTTGACCGGGTTGGAGATATGTCTCACCAATAAGCTTAATCTTGTAACGTTTGCGATCTCGTCTTCTCGATGTGCTGTTATAGAAGTACGCTACTGTTATCAGCATATTTAGCACCGGGAAGTCTGTACGTGTTTGCTCCTTCGATATTCTTGGACCCGTTCAGAACCATTTGCTTGCCTCTGGTATCACTTCCTCGAATTTAATGCTACTCCTGCTTCGGTGCCAGCACTTAATGGCTTGGGGAAGCTTTACTAAGAAAGAGTATAACTGTAACTTTACATAGCTACAGAGACTTTCATGTACTGGAAAGTACACTTGACGATAATAAAGTACGAACGCGCTTGGACCAAGGGTTGAAATCATCATATCAGTTACTGAGAACGGTAAGTTGGGATTTGATTTATACCCAACCTTTATAATCTAGCTGTCGGATTTATTGTTTTCGTCTCAATAAGTACTGCTTCCTCGTGGCACATATTTTGCGGAGGTCGTCGATTTTCAGCCACTCTTCGCGGGGGCTCCTGACGCAAAATACCCGATGATTTTTCTTCCTAAGGGAGTTGTGTCTTTTACTTAAGGTCTCAGGCAAAATTTTATTGACCTCGATAGAGCCTTGGCTGGGTTGTGCTTTCTGTTTTCTGTCGTATGCAACACACTAACGAGCCGCCTTCGCGCTATATTGCTTCCTATGACCTAGGAGTGACCGGTTTTATGGCAGATGGACATTAAGCGTAATTACAACAGCACAGGCAAGCACATCAACTGTCACCTCGCATTAAGCAATGTGACACAACATATTCCGGGTTCATAGGTATTTTGGCAGATTTTGAATTACGTGAGCCTAGTAGTCATCTGGTGGATTCTAGGTGAATTACTTAGGAAATCCTGCTTGGGCAGTCAACTTACTGAATCAGATTTGTTGGATTCCAGACGTTGTAGTAGGTAGGAGGGGGGGGGGGGAGGGTAAACTTGACCCAAACGTGATTAAACTCGAGTCGTCCGGTGGGGCCTCGTAGCTCAAGTGGTTAGAGCGTTGGCTGTACTAAAGCCTTCTTACTGCGTGGGTTCGAATCCCATCGAGGCGCCGAATTTTTCACAGTTGGGTTAATATGAAATATTCCGGGTTGTTTAAAGAATTCTATTGTGATTGTGAGGCTGGGCAGCCGAGTCGTAGATTTATTGTGCAGAGCGCATGCTGCCCGGGCGTGAGCTGAATCAAAAATCTCCTGCAATAGGCTGATTTTCAGACGCATGTGTGAGTATTCTGGGACAGTCCGTTTGGGTTGGGGGCCTCGACAGCCTGGTTTTAGCGCTCCTTGCCTAAATCTCGTTGCAAGACATCAGGTAATAGGGATCTGTTTCCATAAAACCACTCAACGAAATTGTTATTTGAAGCACTCATATCACTCAGATAAGTTTCATCAATTCCGTTTTTTACTAATTGGGTCTGCTTTTTGGTACCTTTCACTTCCTGACGTCGGTGGTAGCCTTAGTTCAGGCTAAGAGACAATGGTCACCCTGAAATCCAGGTTCTCTGAACTTTCCTGACTCATCCAATTGCCACGTCAAAGCTATTCACTCTGAGTCAGAATACCTGTTCCATAGTTCGTAGTTGTTTGCTAACTTAGTGAGTGTGATTTGGTCGTTTATTATGCGTTGGGTGACGGTCTTACTCGTAACAATCGATTTTATGTACTGTCCTACCTGCTGTCTGATGCCCCGATTCCAAGTGCGTTTGATAGCATATTTTGGAATAAAACGCCTCTGAAGAACTTAGCTGAAGGTCAACTAAGTGTCAGTTGGGACTCCATTAGTTTGCAAATGCTTCACCTTGTTCAGAATAGTATTTACCTATCTAGGAAAAGTTCGAGCCGAGGGATCATTTCCCCCAACAGTTACCACCATAGGTCAGCGTTTTTCCGAACGTTTTTAAGCCTCTCCCGCATTCAAGGACTTTTAACTTAAGTCCGTTTACGGATTTTTTTTGCAGTTGTAGACTTTTACTAATCTCTCGCTCAGCCTGCACTTACTGTCCCTCGCCTCCTTAGTCCTGGTGGTCACTGCCGAAATTATATTTCATAAGAACATTTTGTTTCGAGGTTGGACTTTGATGCATCAAATTACTTCTGTGTTCCAAGCACTTGAGACCCCGAGTCTTAGCATGCTTTCAGCTCTTAGGAACGACGACTTATAAAAGTAATTATGCAATGCTTTCTAAACAACTGGTCCTAGATGTCGTTAAGACAATACGCGACGAGTCCCTTGTGATTACTGTTTCATGCATTATCTGGTGATCAGTAGCTGGGATGTCATAACAGTAGCACTACGGATACCGTACGCCCTGCGCGCCCATTGCCTCGTTTTGCGGCACTGGATTCGAAGATGAGTCCTAGACGTCAGCGATGTTGCCTGTCTAACAATTTCATCCTTAAGCCAGTGCAGAGCCTGGGTATTGACTTTTGTGGCAGTATATTGGGCGAGGCTGATAACGCAAACCACTCTTTCTGCATTAGCACTACCTTCTGCTGTCTGTTGCTTTTGTCAGTTTTTAGGGTTGGAAGTCACTGCTAGTCTTGCTCATTCTGAGTGGATGTTGGCTCGGGCTCTTCAAATGTGATCTAGACAGGGAAGACTTTCCTCCATATTTGTACCCTTCTTCCGTTACGTACTTATTTCGCAGCTCAATGGTAATATTTTTATACTGTGCTTGTCCATTTTTGTGTTTAGTAACGCCCTCACCTGGGTTCCTCTTCCCGGCCAATCAGAGATCTTTACTGCAGAAAAAATGGCCTTACCAGCGCCGGTTTCTGGTGCCATCCTTCTGAATAAACTGGCCGTCGGTGATGAGATCCAGGCTCGATGTTTGGCCGTCAAGGGCATTGGACGGGATCACGCAAAGTTCTCCCCGGTATCTGCAGCATACTACAAACTTCTTCCAACTGTCCGGCTTAAGCGCACTGTTCAAGGTGATCTCGCGAAGAAGCTACAAAAAAGCTTCGCCAAAGGGGTTATCAGTGTAAGTCGAGCCTCTCATTTCCTCAACAGCCATGACCTCATTTCAACTAATTTAAGTCTATTGTTTAAAATGCTAGTTTTCAAGTATCTGCTATTTTTTGGAACGTCTCATTTTCTCACAGATTGATCCACTCACGGGAGTTGCCTCAGTTGAGAATTCCCGACTTGACAACGGATCTAGGGAATATCTTCGACTTCCAGAGTTGGCTGATGCCGTCGAAGTTTCTCTCAACCCTCGACACTTTCTCTTCACTGTTGAGTCTATCGCGCCAGGCCATCGCCCACCAGACACGCTAGTCAAGACGGCCATCGACGTTCTTTTGCAAAAGTGTGCCCATTACCTAGCCATTGTAGAGCGACCAGGATTTGCTGCTACTCCCGTAGCCGAGGTTGACGTGGATCCGATTCTAACAGTCTCCGAAGTAAGTTAGCTGTCATGGACTATTTTACCAGCATATCATCCCACCCCTCAAACATGGCCTGCCTTTCTGTCGGGTTTCAGACGAACGAAAGCGCGCGCACCCAGTTGCACGGACGGGTTGTTGGTCTAGATGCCATTTTTGTCTCTCCGGATTTGCGTCGCGCCACATTCAGATTCACTGGCGAAGACCATACCCTCGGTGCTGCTCTCCGCTACTGCATCTTGCAGAGGTAACTGAAAAATTATTTTGCATTCAATAATATCAATTCTTCCCCTCGGATGTGGACATATTTTGGGAATAACGAAAACAGAAGTGTGCAAATAGTTCATGTCTGTCGATTTCAAGTCCTTTTGTCGAACCCAATAAACATATGAGACAACAAACACTAGCGACACATTCACTTAATGAAACCTCGGTCGGGTAGATAGTACCAAATCTTGTTGATAGAAGTAAAAAAGACTGGACTTTTGGCCATCACTTGCCCTTTAGAGGTTTCCCACTTCCCGCTGACACGAAGGCAGGCAAAGAGTCTCCGAGTAGACTATACTCGTTACGATTAGCCTTTCCGCTTCAACTTTTCTTCACTCACTTTCTGCCTTTCAGCGATGCTGTCAAGTTGTGCGGCTATTGCCAGCCTCACCCGCTTGAAGATGCAATCTGTTTCGAAGTCCAAAGCAAAGGCAAGTTTCCTACTTTCTAAATCGTACTCGGAATGCACGTCAGGTCGCTGTCCCCAGCCAGAATGTCTGCCCATTCTTACCGTTAAAGCGAGTTTGTGTCTGCCTGCCATTGAATTGTTACCTTTCCTATTCAGCTATCTCCTCTCAGCGGCACTTGGGGCCACTGTGATCAACTCCTGCATTGATGTTTTGAGCCATGTTCTCGTTTGACCCGTTTGGTCTAGCCTTCTGACACAATAGAGGGGCCTGGCAGTTGCTTTTTGTCAAGTAAACGGGCGTTTGATGATTTGGTCCCCTCATAGAAACGCCACCATCGTTATCCCCTTCAACTGTGAATGACACATTTACCTGTAGATAGTAAAAGACGCGATGACTATTTGCATACATCTTCCCCTAATTTTCGTTTGAAGTTTAAAATTCTTACTAGCTCAACCATTTTCACCCATAGAGGAGCCAGCCGTCGCTGTTCTGCGAAGCGGCCTGTACTGCCTCCGCACCTGCTTCGAACATATCAAGCGCAAATTCAAGTCGGCCGTCAAGAAGTCAATGAAAACATCCGCCAAACACCAGAGTTCTGAATAAAATGACTTTCTACAGACTTCACTTCTAAGCACACCGTAAACAGTACGTTACTTTATGGCTGCATCTGTAAATAGGTTCGTTAGAGCAACTGGCTCTTGGCCCCTAGCCCTCGTTTCTCAACTATCCAGTGGATTTTTAACCGCATTTGAGATCTACGGTTAGAACTCTGGTCAAGTCGCCTTTTCGAAACTCATGACGACCGATTACTACATCTGTGACCTCAAAAAGGATGTACTAGGAACTCCTGTAGCTGACTAAATCAGAACCTGGACATGTCGCTAAAGCACGCACGTTCTTTTACTCGCTGTCGTTACATTTCCAACAACTAATCGGCGTTCTGTAAAAAGTAAAAACCTAATTTCAACTTTAAGCCCTCTAAACACCGAATTTAGTGGAGACGCCAAGCACAAGAGGCGGTCTACACTAAAAGTCTGTCCAGACCAATCAGGACTAACTTTTCTGTTTCCAAAGTGTGTGTAGTTTGAGGATGTCTGAATTCACTGGAAGGGGCCGGCACGTAGTAACTGTACATTCCTGCCGCTGAGCCCCTAATATAGGTGAAGGCACTCCCGAGTCTTCACTCTCTCCCAGTTGGCTTCTTCCCTGGCATATTCAAACTGATCTAATTCACGCAACAGGGGGCAGTAACGCGGTCTGAAGCGCTTACAGGCCTGCGCTCCTAACTGGACTGTGTTGTAGTGACCTTATTGGGCATCGACTATGTGGTTCTGATTAGGCACGAATGGATCTGGTCTCGCCCTATAACGCTGCGGAAGATCTTGAGCTTCTGCAAGCTTACTCCTTGCCGCGTACGACAGCAATGACAAAAGGATCAAGTTAAACAGACAACTCACTAAAGCGGAGCGCACAAGTATCTGGGAGCTACTGTTGACTGGACTTAATGCGCATGAGTGGCCGCTGGTCGACCTGTCTTCTCTGCTGTCCGTGGCCGTCATATCGTACGTAAAGACTTACATTCATGTTAGAAGTGTGACAAGATGCCATCACGTACTCGCAGGCAGTTTTAGGGTCAACCAAACGGCATGCCCAGGGGCAGACTCCTGCAAGATTCTAGCCAATCTTGCCAGACGAAAACTGGAACCACGTAGTCGGCGAAGCAGAGGAAGTCCTCTGCCAGGCAGGTAGGCATTGTGAAAAGTCCTATTGCTACAGCGGAACCTGCGCGATCGTCCGGAATGCTGGCTGGAAAACTTCTTGGATGACACCGGAGTCTGCATTATGTCGTAACAGTAATGCGTCTGATTCTTCGCGACCCGGCAAAGTTGGATGAGGTTGGACAGATCCTTGGTGACTGGCGTATCTTATGAAATGTAATTACATTTAGAAACGACCACCTAGGAGGGACTGCAACACTATCGTGCAACATCATCGCAGTATATCTTGATCACACCAGGATGCTGGTTTTGGGTGCGCCTTTCTCGGGTCGCATACGAAGACCGCGCTCTATAAAAACGAGTACTCATGCAGTATCGAAAACAAAAATATGCCCACTATAGTAAGTTGTCCCAAAATCCTGTACTTAGGTTAAAAATCCTTTTAATTCCCGAATGATTTCGAGGCTGGCCTGTTGTTCGACTCGTGTTTAGGGTCTTCAAAACACAAGTCAAATACTTGTGTAAGGGAAATCTCGCAACCCTCTACGCCGTTAAGGCATGATATCATAAACTGCGAAAGAAGATATTTGCACATGTCCGCCTGAGAGTCACAGTGTGACTTAGTGACACTGTCTGGTGTGCCTGCATCTGACCCTTGGATATGTTTCAAAGATCAGAACGAGAAATGAGTGACAGCGAGTAATAAAATATGAGCTGTGCACAGACTTTGGGTGCATATAAGTGGTGCGACCTATGACAAGTTTATAGAGTGAGCAGCGTCCGCGAAATTGCGTGCATATGAAAGGCAGGCTGCCACAGATAACCGCTGGAAGTGCCTGGTTTCCCGGTGGGAAGAATGACGCAAATAATAAGTGTCGTGGAAAAATGCTGAATAAGCCGAAGTTGTTGACAGTCTTCCATGGCCCATGTAGTCTATTTCAATCGCCCCCTATATTTACTGTTTTACGTTATCAGTAACAGCGTTCGGCGTCGTCACCCTAATTTGGGGCATGCTGATGGCTAACAATTGTGGAAGCACATTTAACACAAGCGCGCAGTAGACACTTAAGCATTGTCGGCTGGCTCTACGTATCCTGAATGCGCAAGCTCCAGAAGTACGTGGCAGCCGTCTGTTTCTGGAGTTTCCACGGTGCCTGAAGAGTTTGTGCGGTCTGGCCAGAGGTGAATTTGGGCTGTGTGCCTGCAGGAGGCACGTCCGGAAATCCACCAGAAACCGGAGTTTAGACAAAAAGTCCAAAGGTTAGGGTTAGGCAGCATGTCAGTCACTTGGATCTTAACATGGCTTGGCCAGACTGCACCTCCTTCGGCGCATCCGGGATCCTCCAAACCCATGTGAATGGTATTTTGCACACCAATAATTCAGGGAAATTCCGAGCCAAAAAGGCGCAGATCGCACTAATTTAAGGGTGCAAGCGCACTAGTTTGCAAATTAAATGGTCTGGCCATCTGGGGAGATTAAGGGTAACGGAATTAGACGGAAAGTTAAGCTTGCCTGTTCAGCAGGGGCCGGTCACAGGCAAAAAAGAACAAATACAAGCTTGGCTGTTGAGGAGCTACGACACTGTAGGTGGTGCTTATGTTCTGACCTCCAGGCCGTAGTAGTTGAAGTGCCCGAGGCTTACAGACCGAGCGGGCCTTGGCTACCATACCTTGTTTAAGCACGTCATAAGATAGTCTGACTACATAAGATGCATTTGATTCCTGTTCTCGTAACGCTCTACTGTCTCCAGGAAGAATTTCCCCCAGTCCAACGTTTGTTCTGCACCGTTTTTCTCTGTGTAGCTGCCGAAGGTGTCGAGTAACGCACATCGAGCTACATCCTACGTCGTCTAATCCACCGGGAATATGCTGAACGAAATTAATTATGCCAATGGAAGCACGGACGTGAATGAAGTTATACTAATGATGAACAGCAAACCATATTGCAGAATATCTAAGAGCATGAGCACGGGAAGATATTGAAAATAAGGCTGGTCCACAAGGAGCGAGGAACAACGACATGTATCTACCAGTGTAACGCTGTCGGCACCTACTGAAGATCGTTAATGGGATGCCCGGCTGACGGCAGGGTACTGGCTGTGGCCGTTAAACGCAGCAACTATCACATCTATACAAAAACGACAGAAAAAAGACAAGGTAATTCGGAAGGCCAATGACATATGTAGGAATAGGTAGTAGCAACAGTTGTTACGTATGAAAAGGAGGCGCCAAGAGGGGGAGAATCAAGCCCTGCATATCCATCAAATGACCGATGGGAGCAACACGCTGTCAACAGGAATTTGAAGGTTGTCAGCGTTTCTGAAGGCAAGAGGAGGGACCACGACCGCCCACGCCGACACTATCCTGGATCCAATGAGATTGTAGGTGCCGAACCGGCTAAGGCGTGGTGGGGCTTATTCTCACTGGTAGACGGGAAGGATGACTGGGATTCTCCACGAGGCGTGACTAGTGAGACTTCGTCTAAAAGACGGGTTAGTTCGTGACACAAGTCAGCCGGGGATTTGCGGACATCAGACATGGCGAATTAATGAAAAACTATGATCGCGGAAATGTTTGCCCTTGGATGCACAATTGGTGGAGAACGTTATCCCAAAACTCGGAACAAAAACAGGAAACTTAACTATAGCCGGTATAGAGGTATAAAAAAGGCACTGGTACAAAATGCTAAGCTACGTCGACAACAAACTGAGTAACACATTTACGAGGCAAAATATAAAACGATAGATACGACTTATAGCAAAATATGACAGACGGGCGCTCACCGATCAGGTTACGGAGTATGCTTGTTCCGTTGTGCCTTGGAGCTCATGCCAGAACCCTCGTAGGCAGACGCACAGTGACTAGTAATAGACGTAAATGAGATGACACCGACAAAAACAATGGAAACAGGAAAATGGTTACATGGAGATGGGACTTAGCGGATGCACGGAGATGTAGCGTCAGTCCGAATTTCGCGGCGCGGAATTCTGAAAAAGGGGGACTGGGGAAAGACTCTGCTCTAAATCACCGTCCGTTACACAGCCCCACTCTAAGGCGGAGCTCGTCCTCGGTGCTGGTGTGGTCGAATGGGGAAGGAGTACGGTAATTTCGATAGCCGCTGGGGGTACCTGGGTATAGAGAAGGATGAGTAGGGCGTCAGGTGTGCAGATGGGGAGGCGAAATCAGAAATGATGGAGTTTGGAGGAATGAGACGTAAAAGTGGGTGACTTGGGGTGGGCTGCTATTCGGAGGAGGACGGTGGCCGAGGCGAGGATTCCGAGGACCACAAACGGTCCTCGCCATGGGTAGTCGGGTTTAGAAGAGGCTCTGGGAAGGATGAGGGATTGTGGTGCATGACCAGGTCACCGATTTGGCAGGGGACACCAGATGGGCGTCGGTCGAATTGATGTTTTTGGTGGAGAAGCCGCACCCAGGGCGATGCGTGCCGCGTAGTGTTGACCGTATGACTTCACGAAGGTGTGTAGCGAAGTCCTGGGTGTGGAAGGGTCAAATGTCGGTAGGGGGTAGCGAAGGTCGGCCGGAAGACGAAGTCCACGGCCAGCCCATAAGAAATGGGGTGTGAAACCCGTGGATGAATGGACTGCTCTTCGATACGCCAGGAGGCAGAGAGGGAGGTAGGCCTCCCAGTCATTATCGTGGCCATCCTTGGCGAACGCCAGGAGGGGATTATGCAGCGTGCGGTTGGTCCTCTCTACGAGACCGTTACCTTCTGGGTGATAAGGGGTCGTGCGGGTCTTGTGCATGTCTCAAAGCTGGCAGACCTCCTGCACCAATTGAGAGTCGAAGGTACTGCTGGAGTCTGAATGAAACGACATCGGGGCGCCCAAACGGCTAATCCATGTGTGGCTGATGGCGTACACGACGGACGCTGCGTCTTGTTGTAGGAGTGGCACCACTTCGACCCACTTAGTGAAATAGTCCACCATCATGAGGATGAATTCAGAGCCTCGGACTGAGACCGGTAGGGGGTCGATTATGCCCACGGCGACACGTTCCCCGGGAACCCAGTGATCATAGGTTGCACAGGTGTGCGGGAGATGGTATAGGTGGTTTGGGGGGAAGTACATATCGGGCAAGACTGGCAGAATAAGTGAACAGATTGACGAAACTGTGGCCACCAAAAACGCGCGCGAGCGGCCTGCTTTTTTCGGCGTTGGCCAAAGTGACCTCATTGTGTGTCAATCGTCGAGAATGGTCTCGACCAAACAACCGGGGACTACTGCGCGCATGCGGTGGGAAGAGGGATCACGAAGGAACATAATGACATTTTGGATGACTAAACGCAGCCACTGGTGCAGTAATGACCGTGAGTTCTGGATTGAGCCCCTCATCTCCTCTTCCGATGGCCTAGGTTAGTTCTGGGTCAAATGACGATAGATGATGGATGTGTTAAGGTCAATGTTCTAATATAACGTCCAGAAATTGTGTCTGTTCGGATACCGTGATAGAGCTTACACACGCAATAGGGGGCGTCGACTTCGGGGTGTTCAATCGGGGCAATCGGGACAGCGCGTCCGCATTGCCGTGTTTGTGTCTCGGCCAGTACTGACATTCGAAGTCGAAATCCCGTAAGAATTCCTGCAAACGAGCTAGTTGATCCATTGGGTCCTTGAATGAGCGGAGCCATTGTAGGGCCCGGTGGTCTGTGAGGAGAACGAGCCACCTGCCGACCAGTAAGTGTTTGAACTGGCGAATAAATACAACGATGACAAACAGCTCTCTACGGAAGGTACAATAATTGCGTTGCGTTCTCGTCAGGGTATTGCTGGCGAAGCTGACGGGATGTTCCGCTCCTGTCTCATCAGTCAGCGAAAGAACTGCGTCTATGGCATAGCCACTGGCGTCTGTGTCTAGAATGAACGGAGGTGAGTCTTTGTCAATGTCAGGAAGAGCAAGCAACGGGACCGAAGACAGGACAGCTCGCAAGTCGTTAAACGCGTGGACGCAGTCGGCTGACCAAACAAACTGCCTGCCCTTCTCTGTGAGTTTGTGGAGCGGGCTTGTGATATGGGCAAAGTTCCGTATGCAGCGTCTATAATACGATGCGAGGCCCAGGAAAATACGTAATCCTGTGTGGTTCGTCGGAATCGGCCAGGTGCGAACGCGTTCAACTCTATCGGGCGCGGGGATATTCGCCCTCGGGCAATGAGGTTGCCTACAAATTGCGCTTTGGGTCACAGAAAGAGGCATGTAATCGGGTCGAGGGCGAGCCCAGCGCCACGGAGAGTATCCAATACTTCTCGCAGGTTGTCGTTATGCTCTTATATCGTACGCCCAAAAACAATGATGTCATTCAGGTAAACAGGGCATTTATACGGGATGAGGTGTCACAGGATGAGATACTTGAGGCGTTGGAAGGTCGCGGCGGCGTTATAGAGCCAAAAAGGTAGGGTTGAGACTCAAATAACCCTTGAGGAACCGTAAAGGCAGTTTTATGTCGGTCATTGGGATGCATATCAGCCTGCCAGTGTTCAGATTTGAGATCTGGCGTTGAAAACCAGGCCGTATTGCGGTGTACATCGAGAGTACCGTCTAGCCGGGAAAGAGGGAAGGAGTCCAGGACTGTGACAGCGTTATGGCGGCGATGATTAATGCATAGACGGAAGGAGTCGTCCTTTTTGGGATGAGGGCTGTATGATTTTATCTTGTAACATTTCGTCGAGTAATTTACCGACTTCGCCGCGGTAACGGATCGGAACGCGGCGTGAAGGCTGCTATATGGGCTTGAGGATTCGAATCTCCCGTATCGATTGTATGTTGTACGAGGTATGTACGGCCAAGAGATTTCATGGACCATTTAAAAGGCTCTGGAAAAGAAGTAAACAGATCTTACAATTGGTAATATGTTGTCTGCCCTACAGACGAAGGGGAGCTCCGGAGCTCCCCTTCCCTAAGGAAGGATGTCATCTAAGGGGGCGGGGTCCAAAACTATAGCCGAAAGGACGACGTTATACATCAAGTTAAATAAAATGGTAAGTATAACAAGTAGCTAAATCTAGGGATAGTAAACAGCAAAAGGGACTTGGCGCCAAGTGCGACGGTAAACGTCTGCTTGCGTCCACGTGACCACGAATTCTGAAAGAGGAGGAACCAAAAAAGGCCGTTTAAAACAATCTGTCATTACAGATGTGCAGAGATGTAGCGTGGGTCCTAAGTTCGAGGCAGGGAATTCTAGAAAACGGGACGGGGAAAAGTCGCTGTTCAAAACGAGCGCCCATCACAGGATATAAGGAAATAGGACGACCTATGTGCACATTCAAACAATTTATGCGTTTCGGTTTGAGGTACCAGAACACAGGGTGATACCAACCCCGTCCCAGATTCAGCAGGATGTTATATGTAACTATTATCCCCGCCTGCCTACCCCCTCAGGTTGGCGATGCGGCGCCTGGTGTGATCACCACGGAAAGAGGTTGAGGAGTTTGTGGAAGTGCATTTTGATGGCGCGCTGGCAGTAGGTTTAGACCCTGCTAAGGTCAACAGGGAAATAACGGTGTAAGTAACTGTATCCTCCGCGTCTCCAGACAAATTTTTCCTGGATAGACGTGGAAGATTGAACAAGACAGGATCTCGGTCCGATGTTAATAACTATCGGTGCGTGCACAAAACGCCGTCTCTAGCAAAACTTCTTGAAAGGATTATTTTCAATGAAATTCTTGACTTCTGTCTAGCTAATCGGCTTCTGAGCTCTAGTCAGCATGGGTTTTTACCTGAACGATCCTGCGAAACATGCCACTTGGCTTTTCTTAATCTAATCACTTCTCTTCGTAATGAGCGGCAGTCAGTGGTAGTTATTTACTTTGATCTTAGCAAAGCCTTTAACTAGGTGCCCCATAAACGTCTTTTAGTAAAATTGGAAGCTCTCGGCATCCGGCCGCCTCTACTCGACTTCATCAGGTCCTATCTGTCCAACCGATATCAGAAAGTCATGGTCGGTAATAGCTACTCGACACCCCACTCGATCACGAGTGGCGTACTTCAAGGCACGTTCCTGGGTCCGCTACTCTTCCTTCTGTACACCAATGATATTTCGACTGAACTCGGAAATTCGCAAACTTCTGTTTAAGCCGATGACCTCAAGTGTGTTTACTCATACTCTAAGGACACCGCAAATGTTTGTGTTGAAAAAATTAATGCCGATTTACTACGCTTAAGCAGATGGGGTTCGACATGGCAGATGGAGTTTTCATCATCCAAGTGTAGTTTCATGTCTTTTGGTCCTGCCAAACTTCCTGGTCCCATAATTTTCCGGAATAACCCACTCTCAGAATGCCTCACCATAAAGGACCTAGGTCTAAGTTATACAAATAAACTTGCTTTATCACCTCATGCAGATAGAATCTCTGCCAAAGCCGCGCAGATATGTGGATTCATATCGCATAATTTTTCCCTTCCGGAAATGAAGCTAAGACTTTATCAAATGTTTGTTCTTCCAGTCCTTGAATATTGCTGTCTTTTCTTCGGTTTAATGAACGCCTGCGACCGTAATAAAATCGAAAATGTTCAGAGATTTTTCACCCTGAAACTGTTCTCTCAAACTTCGTCCAGTTATTCTTATACTCAGAGATGTCAGCTGGCGAACATGAAGTTTTTGTGGGTTAGAAGACTCGAAGCTGGACTTTGCTTCCTTTTTCGCATCAACTCTAGCTCCAGTCTTCCGCACATTGACACTCTCACTCCGAGAGATCGGTCTTATGCCACGCGCAACTCCTGCATGGTGATTCCGCCGCCTATTTGTACTACATCTAAGCGCTCCCTCTTCTTTGCTTCCAAATATGCCTTCCTTTGGAATAATCTTCCGCCTGAAATTAGATCATCGCCTAAGTTACTGGTATTCAAGTCGAAATTACGCAACCATCTTACACCGGAAAGCATAAGGCCACTGTTAACGGTCTCATTCCCGAACACTCAGATTCTTGACTTCGAGAAGGGTCCTCCTGGGATTGAGTGGTAGATTAAGTGGTAACTATTAATTATATCATTAGAAACCCCTGTTTTGAATTGGTTTCTAAATCCACTGCTATCACTCCCCCCCCCCATAGCGACAATTTTCGCGGTTATTGATGTCATCTCCCGCATTCCGACCTCATGCGGTCTGTCGACGCTCACGGCGGAACCCTCAGTATTCACTGTCTGCCAGTAGTTCGGTCGTACCTCCCTTCCTCACTGCTCGGCTGAGCTCGAAGCGTGCTGTGGCCGATCGCATCTCGGTTCCTCTCGTCTGGCCTCTTTGACGCGGCGTATCAATCCGGCCCAGACGATCTCAATTGTGAATCCCGTATACAATGCCATTTGCAAGCCAGTCCTGTCTGACCCACATTCGACATTTATTGCTACCCTGACGATGACCGACAACATTCCGTTATATACCGCCACCTACAGGCCAGTCCTGCTCGCTTTTTTCTGTTATTATTTTTTAGCGAGGGTTTTTTTTCTCCTGTAAAATTAATCCAATCATTTTAAACTTTTTGTAAGGAGTTTTTTTTCACCCCTCAACCATCATGTTTCTCAATGGACTTCTAATTCAGAAACTATGAATTGCATTTTGTAAAGATTCGGCCTACGTCGTCTAAAACTCGCATGTTAATTTATTTTAACTTGCTTTGATGGGACCCCGACGGGTCTTTAATAAAAATTATCTATCTATCTAATACTGCAAAACAGCAGTGGTTGTTGATGTTATAAAAATTTGGAGTGTAAACCGATCACCTCTGATGATGATGACGACGATGATGCTGAGGATATTTTTGTGGATGAACCTAAATCGACAGTAAGAGTGGTGACTTTGTTGGATTTTACGATCCAACGTCGGCAGAGGCAAAGTACTTCGTTTAAGCAACCCAGTTAGATCCACTGACCAAAAAGGCTACTTTCTCAACGGCACGGCTTTGTAATACACAGAAGCCCAGAAGGGCTCGATGGTGATGACAAAGTACTTAAAACCGCTAGCACATTGTTCAGGGCGGCGGGGAGCGCAATGTCCCTGTTGTGCGCCATTAAGAGAGACTTCATGGATTTTGTAACGAACATTTTGCATTCGGTAAAACCCCACAAGTTTTGAGCGCTGAATTCACCGATCGAATAGACTGTAGCGATGGCGTTCGTGGTCTCTGACCCCCATGGCTGGTCTCACCACGCACAATTTCGTTAGCCAGCTGCAACAGTTGTTCTTTGGTGCTTCCGTGGGGTCCCGTCCCAACTTCATAAAAAGAAGGGGCGACCGAAAATAGCCGATCCTATGCTACCCCTCCCTTTCTTAACTGTCATCATTTAAATGGACAGCAGTCTTCTTCTCCTGAGCCCTCCAAACTATACAAAAACACAATCCTCTTTACTTCTTCTTAAGGATTTTAGTACCACTGGCGGCCGGATTTGTGTTTAATATTTCACTGACAATGCCTGTAAACTGGCATTAAATGCAAATATTGTTATTATTATTATCTAAGGCCGCATTTGAAGTACGGAATAAAAACCGGACAATCGTTTGCAGTCCAAGCCCAATACAGTCGAAAAAGATTCAAAGAAGGGCCGTAAACATGGTTAAGGACCAAATTTCCTCGACTAAATCAACACAATAACAAACCTAAATGAGTGCGAAAATCCTGCGAGCATTCTGCGTCGTGCATGGATTCAATAACTGCAACACGCGGTTGTTTTAAACAACGACTTTTCCCCCATCACTCTTCCCAGAATTCCGCGCCGTGAACTTCGGACTCACGCTACATCTCTGCACATCTGTAATGAGAGATTGTTTTCAACGGACTTTTCTGGTTTCTCCTCTTTCAGAATTCGTGGTCACGTGGACGCAAGCAGACGTTACCGCGCACTTTCCGCTAAGTCCTTTTTGCTGTTTACTATCCCTAGAATTATTTATTTGTTATAGTTACCCTTTGATTCAACGTATAAACGTCCATGTTTATTTGCATGCGTTTTTCAAAAACATCGAACCGCCTCGTATTTTTGTTACCGTTTTATTAACTCCTGCGTATATCGTTTAATATCCTTAAAGCAGACCTATCCGGACTTAATTTACCCTCCATTTTGATAACTTTTCGATAATAAATCATATATAACCAACTCACGGGTTTACTAACATGTCTACACCGCCCCTATCTTTCGAAAGTGTGTATGAAGTTGTAGCAAAATTTAGAAGAAATATCCCTGGTTTCCCGTCCGGAAGAGCCAAAATCATCACGCACGATGATTGGCGCATGCGAACCCCCACACGCACAACCTTATACGGGCGCTACACATCCGCTACGTCCCGTCTCCATTTAACCATTTTCCTGTCTCCATTGTCTTTGTCGGTGTCATCTCATTTACGTCTATTACTAGTCACTGTGCGTCTGCCTACGAGGGTTCTGGTATGAGCTCCAAGGCACAACGGAACAAGCATACTCCGTAACCTGATCGGTGAGCGCCCGTCTGTCATATTTTACTATAAGTCGTATCTATCGTTTTATATTTTGACTCGTAAATGTGTTACTCAGTTTGTTTTCGACGTAGCTTAGCATTTTGTACCAGTGCCTTTTTTATACCTCTATACCGGCTATAGTTAAGTTTCCTGTTTTTGTTCCGAGTTTTGGGATAACGTTCTCCACCAATTGTGCATCCAGGGGCAAACATTTCCGCGATCATAGTTTTTCATTAATTCGCCATGTCTGATGTCCGCTAATCCCCGGCTGACTTGTGTCACGAACTAACCCGTCTTTTAGACGAAGTCTCACTAGTCACGCCTCGTGGAGAATCCCAGTCATCCTGCCCGTCTACCAGTGAGAACAAGTCCCATC